GGCTGGTTCTGACACTGCAACCTCAATGTATCCGGGTCAGCTGGCAGCAGCCATTAAATGGGTGCTCTCCCTCCTCCCCCTCAATGAATATTAAGAGAACATAGGAAAAGCATGGGCTCTGTAACAGTGCCTGGCAAATCTGTCTTCAGATCAGGCAGATTTCCACTGTCACAAGTGGAGAAAAAAAATATCTTTAAGGACAGGAGGCTCTCTTTACCAGGTGGAACTGAGCCAGGATTCTCAGCTCAACGGACCATTTTAGCTAGCTACAAAATTCACACTGCTCACTCTCCTTCCTCCAGCAAGTGATGGGGTGGCAGAGGCTGGCAATACAGTTTCCAGGTGAAACCCCAGAAGAAGCAGTTATGTCAGGACTTGAACCACATCTGTACAAGACCTGGATTCTCCTCCTTGCCGGATGTACCTTTTTTTCCTTTTTGTACACAGACATCAATGCTCATGGAACGATATTTGGTGAGCCCCAATTTTCAGTCTGGACCCCTGCCTGTTTCTCCAGCTGAGCAGCCCCAGGTTTCCTCCTGCTGCCATGGCCAGACCCTGGCAGGATTTGTGCCCGGGGCGCTGCGCGCAGCCGGCGAGAGGCGCAGGCAGGGTTTGTAACGCACTGCAGTGGAGCAGAGCCGATGCGGCTGGCTCAGCCTCCTCTCTGCCATCCCTGGTTGGTTCATTAGCATCCAACTGTTCAAAGGGATGGAAATTAAATTATATTTAGGTCAGAAATGTATTTTAAGCAAAAATACCTATTGTATTTCAAGCATCTTGTTCAGAGACTCTCTGTCTGCCGCTTCCAGGATGGCTGCAGAAGTACTCACTGTCCTTAATATGCTTTTTAATGATACAGCAGGCGATTCCAAAATCTGATTTTTGTTTAAATATAAATTAGGTTCATTCTCTCTCTCAATCTAATTAATGCTGGTAAATAAGAAACCACCCTCTGGCAGCTCATTTAGGTATCCCAAACAGGCGAAAGCCCAGATGTCCCTTGATAATTCTGAGAGAAAATAGCTCTAACATAGAGAGATGGAGTTGTAGTCCTGGACAGCCCAGCACTCTGCTCTCTGCTAGGAGGGGGCAGGCAGGCAGGCAGGCAGCTTTCCAGGAGCACCAGCAGCCAGACATTTCTCCCCACGCCTTGGGCTGCCGCTCCTTTTAGGCAGCAGCCCCTCCGTGACTCCCTGTGCAATCACATCTTAAACAGCTTCAAGTGCCTGGCTACACCTCCCATCAAGACTGCATGAGTGATGATCTCCTTGGACTTTATAAATATTGATCATTGTTCTGGAAGCAGCTCAGCTGACAGAAGTTCTTCAGCCCCAGCTCCTGCGCTCCCAGAGAAGAGGCTATGTTGACTCACAGTCAATACACTTTAAACTGGAGTGTATCATGATGCTTAGGGATCCCTGGCTGTCCATGCTTAGATCAATACTCCAAAACCTCCTGTGAACCAGCTAGGGACACAGTTACCTTGCCCAGGGCTTCCAGTAGCAATACTAGTACTGGAGTAGCCCAGACTGATTTTTTGCAGCACTGTGTGACACTTCCTTCCTCCACAGGACTGAACCCACAGCTTCATTAGTTTACCTTGACACACACCAGAGCAGAGGAACGGGGCTGCTGCTGCCTCTCCTCCACAACTCACTCAGGAGAGCACACTGGACAGCCTGCTGACTTCCCCTACTGCTGACATTGCCTTCCACCTGCTCATAAAATTTCCATTGCCATGAAGGCTTTGTCTTGCATTTGATTCCTGAGACAATTTTCTCTCCTCCTAAGGGGCAAGAGAAACTGCTGGAGAGACACAAGCACAGCTGGCTGCTCCTTGCCCCAGGCCCTGCCAAACTTCTCTGCAGCAGGCCTGGTGCTGCAGGCATCACAGACAGGGATCCTTAGATGTGCCAGGGAGGTGATGCTATTTTTCTGCCGTTCCTCCAGGGGATCTTCAAATCCCAAGGCTCTCACAGAGCAAGTCTGTCTAACCTGAGTCTGTTTGAAAGAAGCAGCAACATAGGAAAAGAGAAGCTGGATGGAAGAAGCCGATTTTTGGAAGCTTAGTGGAAAAGATTAAAACAACCCTGTTTCCCAGCATTGACAGTGATCTTCCCCTCCACCAGCAGCTTCGCTGATCTGCTCTGGCCTGCTCTGTGCTGGGCCAGGGAGGGCATCATTCTACTGCCATTTCCCTGACCTGTGATGAGCAAGGACAGAGGCAGCTCTCACCAGGCTGGCAGAGGCATCCGATGCCCCTGACTTTTGGGGAGAGGAGTATAAGCAGCTCCAGAAATGCATTTTTCTTTCTAGGCTAAGCTGCAGTGCCCTGGCCTCAAGAGCACTCATCAGATGAAGTGCGCTTCAGGCTGAAAGCAGACAGAGAAACTGGTCTGCATGGGGATAGACAGGACGTTCACCCAGGAAGGCTTCAGCACTCGAACACACTCATGGTGTTATTGGGTTAGCGCTAATGCAGCACATGTGGTCCAGCAGCCAGAGGAAATGGCTGGGGCCTTCCTCAGAAATTGATGGCTTTATCTTTGCATTAGCACCCACCTCCTGGCAGCGGCTGGCTTGGCTTGGCTTGCAGCAGTGGCCCTTCTTCCTCTTCTGGGATGCACATAGGGCCCTGCTTCAACTGCAGGAAAAAGAGGAAAAAAAGGCACTATACAATTGTACATTCAAGTGGTGCTTGTTGTAAAAGGGCAGTAGCAGCCCACAGTTGTCCTTTGAGAACAGCTGGAACAGAGCAGCCATCCTTTCCGAGAGTCAGAAGCTGTTAAGAGGGGGCAGGAAACAAGGATGACATCTGCTCACCTACCCTGACCTTGCCAGTCCTCCTGAGGGGCTGCCTGTGGTGGATGGGAGACAGAAGGCAAGCCTCACCAACCACCTCGGGTGCAGGATACGCGTTGCTGAATGACCAAAATTACAACTGCTGTACAAACCACAATCAAATGTGTTAAGTAAAACCACTGCTTTATAGACAATTATGCTGGATATAGATACAGTATCAGTGCTTTTATAGCAAAACACTCTCCTTAAGCTTTAGAAACCTACAGTTTGATTTTGTAGACTAAAAGCTCAGTATAAACTACTGGTGAGACACAAGCATGAGCAGTTGCGCTGTATTCAGGATTAGTTCTCAGTTTCTGTCTCTGGCCCCTTGTAAACCTACCTGCTTTTCTCCACTTGTAATCTTGAATTCAACCAGATTACAAATCTAGGAAGAATTGGTGCAGCACTTTTTTAATGTTAGCTGATCACTGAATCTGACTTACCAGCTCTGTGACTTGATATCTAGAAGCTTGATACCAGATCCTGGAAGTCTGTCTACACAAGAGTACCACTTTAACTAGCAAGACGATGTCAGTGAGACATCCCTCCATCAGCCTCTGCTTCCCTCAAGGAAGAAGGAAAGGAATGGAAGCGGTGATCAGAAAGGGCCTCCCACAGCACCAGTCTAAAGAAATGTCCTTTCTCGAAGTGCAGGAGGCCCCAGGAGGCATTCAAGGAAGCTCTGGTGAGGAGAAAAAATGGGCAGCTGAGATATAAAACATGGGATTTCAGATAGTCCTTCCTTCAGAGGAGAGGCTCAAATAGTTTTGTTTTCTTGAACTGAGTAAATCAAAATGATATACAGACATTTCCAACTAGGCAAACGACAAACTGGATGACAAAAATGGAAAGAAGTTTATTTATTTCTCTTTAAAATGACTTAAAAGCAAAATTAAAACATTACATTAAAAATAAAAAAAGATGGGGTTCAAAATACCAAGAATTTGAAAATAAAACCACAAAGAAGGCATTACAATGTTAGCAGAACATAGAAAGCATAATTAGTATAAAACAGATTTATAGTCAGCAAATATAGAACAGCAAATTCATGCTGCCCACAGAAATAGAACACCACATAATACTGCCCCTACCCTCTCAAACACAAAATTCTTTTACCATTTTATTTTATTGTATGTAGTACTTGATAGGAAAACACAACAATTTTATAAAACAACAGTTTCAATTGACAGAGAAAAGAATTAAAAATATGATATTGCTCTGTAGGCACTGATAAACGTTTATCTATGGTAAAAGAGTGTGCCAAAGCAGAATTCAAAAATTGCATAATTCCTCTTAAAATGATACAGCCCTGGTGTGACTGCCAATCAAAACTAGCTATGCTATTTCTCTGGCATGGCCTGACTGCAGCCCTGCCCACTAGGAACCGTCAGCAACACTGGAGTTTGGACAGGGCTAGACAGGAGTGACAGGCAGAAATACTGGAAAATTAAGGTATCTCCTAGTAAGTCAGAGCGCTCAGATCCATGGAGGACTTTCGTTACACTGACAAAGAGTTGACTGCATGTGCTTGCCAAGGCTTCCACTCTGTGTGTTTCGAGTTACACTTGACCTTGAGGTGCTGAGACAGAGCAAACAGGAGCAGGAAAAAGGTGCCGCCCACTCTGGTGGCCAGTGGCTGCTGGCAGGAGGTCAGCTGCAAGCCCTGCCCAGGCTTGCTGTCAGTAGACGAGTGCTTCCCCCTCCTCTCACTGAGCACAGGCAACTGTAACATTACTTACACCCTCCTTTGCAGAGCGCTCCCATTAAACCATGGAGCACTTATGTCCTCTGAGGGCAGAGATGTGGATTTCACTAGGATAAGCAACAAAAATCAACTCTATGCAATCAGGGGGAGGCTGCTGCTGGGGCCTTGGAGAAGGGTAAAGCAGTGCCTGTGCAGTACACCCTTGAAGCAGATTTTCACCTTGCAAACATCCTCATTTCTGAGGCTTGTCCTCCCCCACCTTTTTTGGCACATGCAGCCTCCCTGCTCCCCCTCTCCAGTGGCCAAGATGCCTGAGATCAGCAGTCCTGAGCCCCAGTGTCCCTGCACACAGGGGAGGAAAGACGTACTCCATCTTCTGTTTTACTAGGGAGTCTCTGGACTAAAAAAAAACAAACAACTTTATAAAAAATGCCATGGCAGGAAGCAGTTAATCAAACATATCCTCAAACATGCGTCGCCCCATGGCTATGTAAACCTCTTTTTCTTCTGGTGTCATCTGGGCCACCAGCTCAGGGCGCTGGCTCACTTGGCTGTATGAGTGTGGACGCCCAGCCACTGTGACAGTGGGGTCTTCTGCCACTACCTCAAACTCTTCATCCTCCTCCTCATCCTCCAGCCCGTATGTGGTGGTGGCCACGGTAGGAGGGCGGGGAGGGGATTCCTCCTCCGACTCGCTTGTCTCGCTCTCAGAGTCACTAGCGTTGACACCAGAGAGAGGAGCGGCACCTCCAACAGTGACTGTTGAAGCAGAAGGTGTCTTCTTCTCGTGGATGAGCAGGGCACGCATCACCTCCTCGTTATCATCCAGAGCTACCCGGCCCTCCTCACGCTCCTGGAAGGTATCCAGATCCCGGCCCCCTGCAAAAAGACACAAGGTAGTGATTGTTTCCTCACCGAGATCGGCGTGACGGCCCTGAAAGCATTCTGGACTCTTATTAATTACTGCCACCAAGCAGACTTGGCCAAGTCACATCCTTTCTCTATGCCATCTCCTCCTCTCCCTTAGAAGACAGAGATAGTTTCTCTCATAACAGCAGCGCAAGTATTGACATTTCCTTGGAGCTAGAAGGCATGGAGTCACTGCAGAACCCAGCTGGGAGCCTCAGTCAGGAGCACATTACAAGAGAAGACAACAAATGGATGATGGGCTCAACTCAGGCACCATCCCTCAGCTGCACTGATGCACATTCCCCACTTTGGAGCTGACCTAAATCTGGGCTTCCAGATACTCCAGAGACTATTCACCCAATGATGACACTACTCATTAGAGATATAGATACCAAATTTATTCCCCCTTATGATTGTCAGAGATACAGCAAGTATCTCAGTGCTGTTTCACAGGTGAACAGGCACAGGCTGTTTCCTTTTTGCCCCTTTGTTGTTGTATGACCACAGCCTGGAGGACTTGCGGTGATGATGTAGACCATGGGGTGTTGCTGGCACAGACCATAATCACAGAACCAAAACCAGGCCCTGCCCTGTCAAGCTCCCCATTTATAAGGGTTAAGACAGAGAAGCACATAAATCTAGGCAGACAGGGGGTATGCAGAAACCATGTGTTATAAAACAACATTTAAATTAGCCATGTCTGGTAAGCTCATAGGTGCAACCTTCCAGGAAATAAGGGGAAAAGCTCATTACTGGAACATGGTGGTAGCGAGTGGGATCTATCTTGGGAAGCAGATGCAGCTTCCAGCCTGCAGCCAAGCTGCACAGTGCAGCATGGAAGGCTGCATTAACATAGCTCCTGCTCTCCAAACTGAAACGCAGCCCAGTCAGTCTCTCTGCCTCCCTACCTGGACCTCTGATTTTCAGAGGCCTGCAGTCTCCCAGCTGACAGACACGGCCTTTGCTCCTCCCTCAGTAAGTCTGGCTGTGCAATAGCTGGGAGGGTTTGGCATCACTTGGGTAGACAGGGTGTTTGTGTTTCACAGATTCAAAAGGTAAAATTCTGTTAAAAAAGTGGTATTCTGCAGAAAAGTTCTCCTAATCCTACATTTTATGAGAGGACTGAGTCCATGCAGCAGCAATAAACCTACAGGCAGTATGGAAAATAAATAAATAGATAAAAATGCAGAGAACCTTATGTAAAAACAAGGCCTAAAAAGTAGGACAGACTCCCCATGGTAAACTTTCTGTAAACCTAAAAATGCTTCCTCTGGAGATGAAGTGACAGCATTCCACCTTCATACATGATTGCCACTTGCCTGCTTCTCCAAGACCCGGACCTTCATGGTTTATAGAACCACATCCAGGCAGTTGGCACCCAATGCCTTTCCCCCAGGGTCAAAAATGTACTGGCTACTTTTTTCAACTTGAAATTAAAAAAATCTTGCGAAACAGGTGAACTGAGGAAGTAAGTTCTGCATTTAGCACTAAAAGCCAGGGGAGTTTGTGCTCACTTCTTTCCTGTGGTAAAATAAAGGCCAAAAGGCCCATCTCTATCTTCACCAGACTCATATTTTCATTGTAAATGAAGCTGTAGTAACGGGTGATGGCTGCAAATACTATTATTAATGCACTGGCAAAATTCTTGAAAGAAAGGAAGAATGAAGGTGTTGTGTTGGCAGCCTTGTGCTCACCTTGCCTGTGACCATAGAGTGTAAGAGACTATTGGAGACCATCTCTGAGATAATATTGTAGCTCATCACATTGAGAGCTATGAAGCAACTACAGCCTGGGGTAGCTTCACCAAGGCTGACTTGATGGCTCAGGAGTGGGGCTGCCTCTTGCTTGTGAGAACTGCTCCTGCCACACTCAAGCAGTGAATCTTTTCTGTCTACAGTCCCAAGTTTCCTCCTCCTCTATTTGTGTCATCCAACAGCTATAAAAATGTGTCAGAGAAACAATTTCAGACTATTTCCACTAGCCCTCTCCTTACATCTGCAGTAGTTGTGGAGGTTAAGTAGTGATGCTGTTGTGCTAGAAGGAAATATACTCCCCCTCCATGTCCTTCAGTGACATCTGAGAAATATTTATGCTGTATACACCAAAAGTCATCTCAAGGAGGCAATTTAAAGATACAGGTGACTTCCTTGTCTAGCAGAAAAACAGGGTGAGAACTCACCATGGCTGGTGAGTAACAACAACATCTGCTAAACTGCAGGAGGAGCTTGCTTCAATCACCTTCACTTTGTTTAATCTATCTGGAAAACGTTTTGGGATCTGTATGCTTTACATGCAAACAAGATCATTAAGTACCTTCTGACCATTATTTCACATCCATTTTCTTCACTTCTGCTACACCTACATTCTCTACTCCTCTCCTGAGCAGTGCTCTGGCTCTGGGGTCTCATGCTCACACACATGGCTTCCTTTTGCCATCTTCTCTTTCTAGGGCATCAACAGTTTCAGTCTATAACCCTCAAACAACTTGGAAAATTGCACCTACTGATTTACTCTTGTACAAATCATAAATGGTCGCTATTTCCTGTTTTTAGTCTGTAAGCTTAAATAACACACTTGCCAAGGCAGAATGTTTCTACTATTTGTTACAAGATCTTGTCCATGGTCTATGGACAACCTGAGCCCAACATGAATGAAAATGCAAGCAGAGATACCAAGAAACAAACAGAAAGCAATACTCATCTGCCATAGTGACAAACCTTCCCCTACTGTTCTTTTAGCAGCTTCATTTCTGACATGTTCTTCATATAAAACATGTTTTGAAAAACAAATGGCAAGAAGAAGGCTGGAAGCACATAAACCCTGCTGGTAGATTTGGCAGGCTTCAGAGTAACTGACTGTTAATGTCATTTTTCAGTAGTGACCTAGTAAGAGGGCAGCTCTCTAGATGAAACTGGAAGACCTTCATCTAGAAGCAATAAACTTCCAAGGTGGAAGACATAACAAATAATTAACATTTTAGAAACCTACAAACACTTCTGTGGACAACTCTACAGCTTTACTGACCTAGATTTCACGTCTCTGTGCACACAGGTGCTTTGCACAGCAGAGGGGAGCAGACAAAATCTGGAGTGTAGGGAGTGGCAGCTGTACACACACAAGGGGACACATTTCTGACAGCACTCTGAGCATCAGATCAGCAGAGCAGAACTTCTGCTCTGTGAATTTCCTTACCGTCTTTGATTTCATCAGGATCATAAGCCCCCTGCACGGTGCTCTCCCGTAGCCAAATTGGTCTCTCTCTGGCTGGCTTCCCTTCAGTTGCAGACCGGTTAAGATCCTCCTGGTCCTCCATGCTGATGACAACGTTCTGCGTATACAAGTCCTCATATGATGGTCCTTTTGTAGTCCATGCTTCCCGGTGGTGTCCACCTGCAATGCCAGCTGCTGCCCCTGAACCGGTACCAGCTGCACGCTCCTTGCTACAGAAAAGTCAGAGAGATAAACACAGCACTCAGAACAAGCCCTTCCTTGGCCAGCATTGCAACACTTCAACTATGATTATGTCTCTCATAGAATCACAGAACTGTCATGGTTGGAAAGGACATTTGAGATCACTGAGTCCAACCATCAACACAAAAAACCCAACAAAACAAAAACCAAACCAACACAAACAACCACACACACTCCACCATAAAACACACAAATGCCACATCTACATGTTTCTTGAATACCTCCAGGGATAGTGACTCCACCAGCTCCCTGGGCTGCCTGTTCCAGTGCCTGATTTCAGGAGAGAAATTCCTCCTAATATCCAATCTAAACCTCCCCTGTCACAACTTCAGGTCATTTCCGCTGGTCCTACCATAATTTACTTGGGAGAAGAGGCCAACACCCACCTCCCTACAACCTCCTTTCAGGTAGCTGTAGAGGGCAATGAGGTCTCCCCTCAGCCTCCTCCAAACTAAACAATCCCAGTTCCCTCAGCTGCTCCTCATAAGACTTACTCTCTAGACCCTTCACCAGCTTGGTTGCCCTTCTCTGGACCTGCTCCAGCACCTCAATGTCCTTCTTGTAGTGAGGGGCCCAGAACTGAACACAGTACTCGAGGTGTGGCCTCACCAGTGCTGGGTACAGGGGCACGATCACTTCCCTACTCCTGCTTGGCCACACTATTCCTGATGCAGGCCAGGATGCTATTGGCCCTCTTGGTCACCTGGGCACACTGCTGGCTCATGTTAAGCAGGCTGTCAACCAAAACCCTAAATCCTTTTCTGCTGGGAAGCTTTCCAGCCATTCTTCCCCAGATCTGTAGCGTTGCCTGGGGTTGTGACCAACATGCAGGACTTGGCACTTCACCTTGTTGAAGCCCCTATGATTGGCCTCAGCCCATTGATCCAGCCTGTTCAGGTCCCTCTGTAGAGCCTTCCTACCCTCAAGCAGACCAACACTCCCACTTAACCTGGTGTCATCTGCAAACTTACTGAGAGTACACTCAATCCCCTCATCCACATAATTGATAAAGATATTGAAGAAGACTGGTTCCAAAACTGAGCCCTGAGGGACACCACTGGTCACCAGTCACCAACTAGATTTGACCCCATTTACCACAGCTCTCTGGGCCCAGCCATCCAGCCAGTTTTTTACCCAGTGAAGAGTACAAATGTCTATGTCATGATTTGCCAGCTTCTCCAGGAGAATGCTGTGGGAGGCAGTGTCAAAAGCCTTGCCAAAGTCCAGGTAGACAACATCCACAGCTTTCCCTTGTTCTGGAGGTAATCTCTAAGCACATGGAAGGTTGTCAGGAGTAGCTAGCATGGATTTACCAAGGGGAAATAACACTTGACTACTCTGATAGCCTTTTACAATGTTGTAACTGAATGGGTAGATGCAGGGAGAGCAGTGGATGTAGGCTACCTTGACCTTAGCAAGGCTTGTGACACTGTCTCACATAGCATCCTTGTGAGCAAGCTCAGGAAGTGTGGGGTAGAAGAATGGACAACGAGATGGATTAAGAATCCTCAGTACTCTAGGGTGGATCCCATCCAGTCCCATAGACCTGTGAGTGTCTAGGTGCAGAAGCAGATTGTTAACTACTTCGTCCTGGATTATGGGGGGGTTGTTCTGCTCTCCCTCCTCATCTTCTGGCTCAGGAGGTTGAATACCCTGGGAGAAGCTGGTCTGACTATTAAAGATGGAGGCAAAGAAGGCAATAAGTATAATGATGTGTGCTGAAACCTTGCATTCTCCTTTCTAAGACATGATGCCAAGAACTTCCACACCAGCTTGCTGATTTGGGGAACCTAAGGATCTCTAATGGGAAATCCTACATGAGGTCTCAGCAACTTCCACAGAAGACACTGGAAAGAAGAGGAAGCACTAAACCTGCTGATGCACTCACCTAAAAACACATGAAATTCCAGAATACGACCAAAGGAGTCAAACAATAATCTGACATTTGGAAAAGCCTCTTTTTGGCCTTCCCACAGCAACCATATACTGCATTAAAAAAACCACAAAAGTTTAAGCAAGTCTGATCATAGCCCCAGAGACCCAGCATGCTCAGATCTGCGAGCTCATGAAGGAGTTAACTCATCACCAAAAACACATTTCAAACCTTTGCTTGAATTGTGAGTGACAATGCGCATGGTTAGTCATGTCTCCTGTGTTACACAGGAGATCTGTACTATCCACAGACAAAGCCTTGGGAGGACTGGGGAATCCAGGCAGAAGAGGAAGGCACCTTCAACCCAGAGGACTAGGCAAAGAGCTTTGTGTGGTGATTGTATGTGGGAGGAGGCAAGACAGAACTGTCTTCATCGTGGAAAAGTTGCAGAAAGAAAGGTGATAACAGATGAGAAGGGTCTGGCAGTCAAAGCTTGGCCCTTCTTTTTTTTCTGAGAGGAGTTCCAACCAGCACATTTTTCTCCAATTCCTTTCTAGCTCAGGAGACTGATGAAGAAAATGCAACATTGCTGCTTGGATCTGATGGAAAGAGGACATCAGGTGGAGTATTTTCTGCAAAGTGATGCCAATAAGCCTAAAATACACTCTCTGGCCTGTGCTGCTACACATGCATTCACCAGGGAAAGCAGCTCAATGGAAACTCACTGCTCTCTAGGTAGGG